TCATAGCGGATTCCGATGGAATCACGCTCCCTTGCGTTCGAACCTACGAGAACGACCTGGCTCGCCTCACCCTCGTCGGAGCCGTCGGCTTTGAACAGGCTTTAACGGCTGCAGCTGCTGATGGAGGTCGAGCTGCCACGGAGCATGTCGATTCCGGTATCCCTGCTATGGTTATTGAAACTGTTTTCCCTAGTTCCATCGCCAAAAACGCCACGGTTTCGACCCGATTGGTATAGTTCATTTTCGTCCTTTATGACAATTACAAATTAGATTTTCAATGTTTATCATTCAAAATTTAATTTTTGGTAACAGTTTTTGCCAGCTAGGAAAGTTAAAGAAAAAGCTCAAAAGCTGAGAAAGTCACTCTCTGAAGATATTTTAAGCGAAACATCATCAAAAAACATACTGGCAATGACATTTAGGCAAGTAGTTATGCAAAAGCTTTGGAATTTCGAACTGGTTTTGTTTCGTCCTGGAACTGAAAGAGATATGGAGGATCTTGAAAATCCAAGAGAGGTTAGAAATAACCGTTACATCTTGTTTGTGGATTCTATTGCTTTTGTTATCTGTGTCAAATTTTTTTCGTGTAATGCTATATTTAATTTCTTTTCTGCAGGTGCCACTTGATACTGATAGGTTCAGTTCTATTGTAATGCATTTTGTATCAGCAGGTTATCGGCTCGTTCACTCTCAGCTCATCGGAAGAAAGGGTTATTTCTGATCTTGGTGAAGTTGTTTGCATCTCAGCATTGCAAAGCACTGAAAGACATTTCCTAGATAATTTATTGGGAAAAACTTCTTCTAACTTCTTTCAGTGGTTTTGGAAGTCAAAAGGGATTGAGTCAAAAGACTCATCGGTTGTTATATATAAAATGTTTGAAGATGAGATAGTTGAAAATGCCAAGAGTCTTCTTGAAAGTTTAAATTCAAGTGAAGAGAGTTTCAAGACCATGGATTTGAGGCGAAAAACCTATTGGTGGACACCATCTATGCACTCTAAGTTGGATAAGATTGGTGGTCTTGAGTTTAGTGCTTGGACAAGTGAGTTTATACCTGCCTATCGGCTAGGAATCAATGCAAATACACTTAGGGATTTAAAGTTTGAAGGATGGAGAAAATCTGATGAGAATAGGTGGGAAGTTCTTTTGACACACTCCCAGATGGTACTTTATTCTTTCCTTTCAGTTTTAATCTTTTGATTTGTACATCATCTGGATAATTCATTATGATAATTAAGGTGTAGTTTTCATGCTGTATTTAGTTTTATACTCTGCATTGTTTCATGGAATATTTGCTTTCTCTTTTTGAAGCTAGCTAACAAAAATTTGTAGGTTGGATTGGCTGATGTATTAGACATGTACTATGAAGATGTTTACTCACTGCCTAACAAACAACTACGCTGTGGTGTGGTTGCCAATTACAACAGCTTGTCCAAGGCAAAGGTATTCAAATGCATATTGATTGTGTCTGTTTTACTTATTGGTAATTGTTAATAGTTGAAGCTCTGTTGTTGTTTAGTTTGATTATGCTAACCTTTTCCCTCATCTGGGCTGCCTGGTAGTAGATATTTAGACATTTCAAGGTAGGTGGTTATTGGTAAAAACTTGCAAATGTATAAATCAGTGAAGAAATGTTATATAAGTTTCGAAGCTTTTAACTGTGGAAGTATGTGGAAAAATCTTGTCAATTCCTTGAAAACAATGTAAACCCATTATAGGGTAGAGTTACGGATGTTTGAATTCATATCTCGGAGAACATTCAATATTAATACTTGGCATTTCATGAACAGTATATTATAATTGACTGCTTAAATTAATTGTTCTCTTATTTTGTGGTCTTTTGTTTTCTAGGGGTTTAGGCTTTTATGATCATGGAGGATCTCACGGAGAAATGTTTCAATTAGCATTTGATGTCTTGAGTTTGGTTGGGATGAATTGAGTTAAGTTCATTGGCTTTGGTCTGATTATTTCTATTTCTTACAGAGGAGCTCCTCTTTCTTGAGAATGGTATCTGCCACCGTTGCAAGTGGAATTCTTCTCATTACGATCAGTTCTCTCAGTCAATTTAGTTTTCCTCATCTACACAAAGGAGGAAAATACCCTGGAGGATCTAGATCTCCACCGTCATCAATTATTGAGTCTACAACAATTCAATCTGTACACACTGAAAAGGTGGGAATACATTGCTTGGTATGTATCTGTCTACTAACAACTAACAAGTGCTGACAGGTAACGTTAATATTAAATTCAACCATTCTTAGTGGCTGAAATTGTAAATAGTATGGCACAATTTCATGCAAGTGAATCTTACCTTTTAACATCCCTGACGATATAGAGTTTAATGTTTGGAGGTCTTAAATCCATTATGGTTGCTGTCTAAATTTGAGTTCTCTTTATCTTTCCATTTTTCCTTCTTTATTAAATTTAAAAGTTACTATAAATGTAAAAATTGATACATTGACTTCATATGAGTAGTTGGAAGCATTTTGTATCTTGGTTATCCAAAAGATTAAGGATGCTTTTGGCTGGCCTGGTGACATAGCCACTGAAACTGATCTTGGTGCCTGGATTGGTGAAATACCAAATTACTTGAAAGTACCTCATCAAGCTAATTCTAATAATGAGGATGATTCAGCTAGTTCTGCTGATCTGGAGAAAATTGATGATGATTTGAAATCATCTGTCCAGGATGTTGCTAGTTATCAGGTAAACTCATTGGTTTACTTTTTGATTTTGTATTCTGTCTTCTTTCTAGCCTATTGGTTATATTTGCTTGCTTGTCCTTGTGTTTGGTGTGTAGGTGATTTTGTCAACCAAAGGGAAAATAGTTGGGTTCCAACCAACAAGTCGGGTGGGTGTCAATCATTGGGCTGTCAATCCCTTAGCAAAAGAGCTGTATGGTGGAAGAAAACTTTCCCCTGGTAAGAATTTGTTTCATTTGTTATCTATCAGTCCTACTATAACGTGTTGCCAGTGGGTTTGTGTTGATATCTTTCAGGCTATCCATATGTCTCAAGCAGGTTTAATTGAACGTGGTCTCAAAATCCGCCTTCCAAACGAGATTGTTGTAATTGAGTTGTTGATGTCGGTTAATCCAGATTCCTGCTTTGCATTGGCAAGGCCAATCCAGCAATCATTGCATGGAGGAGCTCATTTGTAACAAAGTTGGTGACATCAATAAATCCAGGCCTTTTTTTGTTATTAGAGAAGACTAATTCAAAGGGTAATTCTCCAAAGAGATTGAGTTGGGTGAATATCTCTCCCCTCATACGCACATCAATACGGCTCTAAGTTAAAGGAATAAAAATTCTATAGAAAATATCAGCGAAATTTGTTATTGTAATGGAACTATCAACTGTAAGCATGCCCTGATTGTTATCATATAAATCAAGCTAGTTAACTCGCTTCCAATATTGCTTTTATCATTTTGATTAAGAATCAAGAAAACAATTTGCCTGGGTCGGACTAAACATAGATTTTCAATATCAATCTTCAGTTCCCCATGACTTGATGAAAACATAAAATAGAAAACCCAAGTTTCGTGTTTGTCAAAATCGAATGCATTAGTGAGTTTGGTTCAAGTTTGGTTCCTAAGTAGCTTTTATGCAAGCTAAATGCTTAACGTTTGAGGGCACTTCTAAGTTCAGTTTTGGTCCCCAATTAGTAGATCACGTATTTCAGACCTATCAAAAGAGCAACCATGGGTGAAAAAATGCTTCACATTGCAATGTATCCATGGTTTGCAGTTGGCCATATTACCTCATTTCTCCATATCTCTAACAAATTAGCAGAAAGAGGCCACAAAATCTCCTTCTTCTTGCCAACCAAAACACAAAGCAAGTTCGAGCCTTTCAATCTCCACCCCGATGTCATAACATTCATTCCAATTAAGGTTCCTCATATTGATGGCCTCCCACTCGGCACTGAAACAACAACCGATATTCCTTTCTCACTTCAACATCTTCTTATGGCTGCAATGGATCTCACAGAACCTGCCATTGAAGCTTCTCTCCGTGAACTCAAACCCCACTTCTTTTTCTTTGATTTTACTTACTGGGTGCCAGCGTTGTGTCACAGACTAGGCATCAAGTCCATGTATTACTGTACCATTAGCCCTGCAACTGTTGGCTATTTGATTAGTCCGACAAGAAAGATTCTTGAGAAAGGTTTGACAGGGTCGGACCTCATGGAGCCTCCGCTAGGTTTCCCTTCTTCGAGTATCAAGTTACGTGACCATGAAGCCCGAGGACTTGCAGCTGCAACAATAAAAGAATACGGTAGCGGTATTTCATTCGTTGTGCGCCAATCAACTGCCTTAAATGAATGTGATGCTATTGGTTTCAAGACATGCAGGGAGATTGAAGGGCCTTATTGTGATTACGTTGAAAAACAATTTGAAAAGCCAGTGATTTTGGCAGGACCGGTAGCGCCAGGGCCGCCAAATAAGACTTTAGAAGAACGGTGGGAGAAGTTGTTGAGCAGCTTTCAAGCTCAGACTCTGATATTCTGTGCTTTCGGGAGTGAATGTGTTCTCAACAAAGATCAGTTCCAGGAATTGGTTTTAGGTCTTGAGCTGACAGGTTTACCATTCTTGGTTGCCCTGAAACCACCAATGGGAGCTGAAACAACTGAGTCAGCATTGCCAGAAGGGTTCAAAGAGAGAGTAAAAGGAAGAGGGTTTGTTCATGGGGGTTGGGTGCCGCAACAGTTGATCTTGAGTCACCCTTCCGTGGGGTGTTTCGTGACCCATTGTGGTTCCGGCTCTTTATCAGAGGCTATGGTCAATGATTGTCAGTTGGTGCTGTTGCCTCATATCGGAGATCAGATAATTAACGCAAGACTGATGGCTGGAGATCTCAAAGTTGGAGTAGAGGTTGAGAAAGGTGAAGAAGATGGACTTTTCAGAAAAGACGATGTTTGCAAGGCAGTGATGGCCGTGATGGACGATGATAGTGAGGTGGGGAAACAGGCCAGGGCAAACCATGCTAAATGGAAGGACTTCCTTTCAGGCAAAGGGCTTGAAATCTCCTACATTGATAGTTTCGTTGAGAAGTTGCACGCGCTGATATGATGTTTTTATGTATCTTGATCAAGTATTTTATTTTTCAAGTTAATAATAATCGTGACAACAAAACTAATGATGTATTATTCGTTTATATTATAATTGAAATTCTTTCTAGTGGCTGTTCAATGCCTATTAAAAGCAAAAAGAAATCTACCGATGATAATATCAGTGAATCACAGCCAATCTCCTGATTGGTACTAATTTTGTGCTGAGAACGGCAAATATATTCTCTCCTCCTCCGAATTTGGCATATTTTGGTTTTCGTTTTCTAAAAAGGCCTCATAACATTAGTCACCAAACATATTTTGAGTACTAATTTTGTGTTCTCCAGGAAACTGAAAACAGGGAAACCAGACATGCTTTTAAAAAAACGAAACCAAATAATAAGGTTCCCGGCATTGTATTTAAGCAACGCAAGGATTGCATTTGAGGGACTCCAGTTTGTTTCCTGATTAACTGAGCACCGTATTTTGGATCTATCACACAACACCAACAATGGCTGACAAAACCTTTCACATTGCACTGTATCCATGGTTTGCCCTTGGCCATATTACTGCATTTGTCCATATTGCCAACAAGCTAGCAGAGAGAGGCCACAAGATTTCCTTCTTCTTGCCTGCCAAGACACAGCGCAAGGTTGAGGCTTTCAATCTCCACCCGGATCTCATAACCTTCATTCCGATCACCGTTCCACACGTTGATGGTCTCCCCTATGGCGCTGAAACAACAAATGATGTTCCTTTCCCTTTGCATCCTCTCATTATGACCGCCATGGATCTTACGGAACCTGATATTGAGGCTTCCCTCCGTGAACTCAAACCCCATTTCGTTTTCTTTGATTTCACTTGCTGGTTGCCAGCCTTGTCTCGCAGGCTAGGCATCAAGTCCGTGCTTTATTGTGCCATTAGCTCTGCAACTATTGGATATCTTCTTAGTCCAGCAAGAAAGATTCTAGAGAAAGGTTTGACAGGGCATGATCTCCTGGAGCCTCCGAAAGGTTTCCCTTCTTCTAGTATCAAGCTACGCACCCATGAAGCTCGAGGGTTAGCTACCGTAACAACAATGGATTATGGAAGTGGAATCTCATTTGCGCAGCGCCAGCTAAGGTCTTTAAGTGACTGTGATGCTATCAGTTTCAAGACATGCAGGGAGATTGAAGGGCCTTTTTGTGATTATATCGGAAACCAGTTTGAAAAGCC